GCAGGCATATTTTCGGATGTTGAACATCCGAAGATAGCACACTTTCGGAGGTTGAACATCCGAAAATGTGAACATCCGAAATGTCACTTTTTTGGATGTTGAACATCCGAAAATAACACACTTTCGGATGTTCAACATCCGAAAATGGCACATTTTTGGATGTTCGACATCCAAAAATAGCACATTTTCAGATGTTGGACATCCGAAAATAAAACATCTGAAAATGTGCCTGCGGAATGTGAACGTTAAACTTTCGGGTTATTTTCGGATGTTGAACACCCGAAAAAGAGTAAAGTCATCTTTTTAAAAAAAATTACGTTATGAAAGGTAAAAAACGGACAAACATGTAATAACGAAAATTGTTTAGTACATCCGTAATAACGTAAAATATAACAGATATGTATGTAATTTTCCCTATATTTTAATTTATTTTTAAAATTTAATAAATAGATGATTAGCATACTGTAAGTGTGTGAACATCAACACATTAACAAATCAATCCCAAGTCCGACCCTGAACCCTAACACCATTTGAGTCTCATCCAATCAATTTACATATTCATGGCACAAATCTAATATATGTTTCTATACTTGGATTTTTGTAGGTCCTCATCATTTGTTTCATTGTCTCGACCCTGAACTATGGTGCCATGGGGTTTCTTGGTTATCTGATGTACGGTGAAGATGTGAAGTCCCAAATCACACTAAACCTTCCTACTGAAATACTCAGCTCCAAGATAGCTATTTACACCACTCTCATTAACCCATTCACAAAATATGCATTGGTGGTGACCCCAATTGCAGCAGCCATTGAAGATGCACTGCAACTTAGCAAGACTAATAAGTTGGTACACATACTATTGAGAACATCACTATTGGTTAGCACACTTGTAGTGGCCCTTGCAATCCCAATATTTGGATATTTAATGGCCCTAATAGGCTCTTCTCTAAGTTGCACTGTGTCTTTGATACTTCCATGCCTATGTTATCTCAAGTTCTTTGGGACCTCAAGGGCTGGTAGGGTGGAGACTACATTGATGGGTGGGGTTATAGTTATAGGTGCTTTGGTAGCAATCTTGGGGACCTATTGTTCACTAAAACAGATTGTTAAGCAGTTATAGAACCTCACAACTAAGAGGCCTATGTCTTCCCACAGTTTGTAAAGGATTTGAGGAGATGCAAGTGTGTGTTTTATCTGTGTCACTGATTTGAGACTCGGCCGAGTCAACTCGTCCTCGCCCTATGGGCAAGGCGAGTTTTAGCCGACTATTATGTACACTGTAAATTTAACATTTATATACTTAAGTTGTCATTTCTAGGACAATAAACTACGATGTTGCATGCTGGTTGATATGCACTCTAGGGGCTCATTTTGGTGGGCTTTCATCCCCCACAACCATTGCCGATGTGTTTCTTAAAACACGAGACTTATTAGTTTCGTCGCCCTTATTCTCTTTTTTTTTTAAACCTTTGATCGTTTGAAAAAAGATGTCAACACAAGGATCAAACAGACCTTTTACAAAAGGGGTATGTAAAAAAGCCGAAAGTTAAACCAACATGCCATTAGACATTAATAATAAAAAATTGTGAAACTTAATGTGTGCATCTATATATATATATATATATATGGTAAATGACTTTATGAGACTTTTCCACACCCATGTGTGTAAGACTCCAAAAAAACACTATTAAATTTAACACAGATCTCTAAAAAAGTTATTACATGAGTATATGTATATGAGTACCTTTTGCTGATTTGTGTTAAGGGGATTTTGTGAGGTATGTAGATGTGGTTGCTTAAAAAGTCAACCCAAACGGGCTCAAGTGCCGGTTTGGTCTTTGAAAATTAAGTTCGAAGATATTTTTCATAGAAATGAGGCATCTCCAAAAAAGTTCTAGATTGACCAATCATTTTCTACATATTGACGCTCAAAGTGGGGAGAAATCTTCCTGTGACTCCTGTCTTTACCTCATCTTTGGAAAAAGATCTTGCAATTTGAAATGTAGACTACTTAAGTGCTTATTCTCTGAAAATGAATCTTCACCACTAATCGTCTCTCACTCCTACAACCCCATGCTCTCTCTCTCTCTCTCTTGTAAACCCTCAATCATCCCTCTCTCATTGGAAATAAATAATTTTAATAAGGGCAAGTATATAAAAAAACCATTTTCTTTTATTTGCTAATTATATAAAGAGACAATTGGTCTTTCAAGTCGGATAGTCGCGATCCCTCAAATACATCAAATCGCGGTCCCTCAAATACATCAAATGTAAAATCAGGTATTTGGTGGCCTCACTCAAAGTGAGGAAGTTTTTTTGAAATTTGAATTGCCACACACCAACTCCTACGATACGATGACTTGAGGTGATTGTGACCATCGGAGATGATTGTGACCTTTGTACATGTGATGAAGCAATAGACATAGGGCTCAAATCATGTTTAAATTTGGTTCTTCATCGTGAGAGTTGTGACACAAATCCAAAACATATCCTAAATCCTAGTAAAATTCAGCTCCAAAAAATATCATAAATCCTAGTAAAATTCATTTCTGTTAAATCCATTTGGGCTCCAAAAGTAGTGTAGTTCAAACATTTTCAAAGAATTGAAATGAATGGCTTGAACCAAAAAAAGAAAAGAAAAAAAAAACAATTATTAAGGCGTAAAATTCTTTTTTTTTTGTTTTTTTGTTTTCCTGTTTGTTCATTATCTTAGTTATTGAGATGATGGAGCAGTGAAATTTTGGGTATGCAATCCAACCCCAAAAGAACTCCGCCATGACCAGTTACAACCTGATCGTGCATGTCCTAAGCCATGCCTAAAGAAGGATTGTGTTAGGTAGGGTAGACAACGTAAAACTTTATCACATTTTTTCCTGAATTTTGGATATATATTATAAGCTCATGCTAGGGCATTCCCTGTAAACGAGGTGATTTATGGTTTGCCTGAGGGTATGGTCATTGTAAGAGCAAAATGATCGAACATGATTTGTGTAATTGACTACAAATAGTTAGAAAAAGACTCACATGATGATGGTGATGATGATAATGAATCCACCCCCAAGATAGAAAGTAAATAAGAGTCACTTAAACTAGTCGAAAAATAGTGTAGTGCTGAAGTAACATAGGGATGGGATATGTCTTTCTTCTTAGGTGCAGTTTACATAAGGGGTCACTATTAAATAATCAAAGTAAGGTGCACTTCTAAGCCCTATTGGAATATCCAATTCCAGTGGTGGAAACTTTTTTGATGGCTTGAAAATATGTAGCTTTAATTGTTAAATTCAAAGCTCCAAAAATAGTACAGATTGGGTATATTTATAAACTCAAATAAATTTTAATAATGAAAGATTTCTACAAATGTTACAAGATACAATATTTTTAAACTTGAAATCCATTAATTTTTTCATATTCATTTATATTGATGTCAAGATGATTAATTTGAGGATATTCCATTATCTATATGGTGTGGTTTTTATAAGGTTGCAACATTAAACAATCCAATTAAGGCACACCTCTAAATGTTATCATAACATGTAATTTTGGTGTAAAAAATTCTAAGGATTATCTCAAAATCTGTTTTCATACCTAATTATATAATTTTAAACTCCAAAAATTTTCAAATCAAGTAGATTTATAAACATATGAAAATCTTGAAATGGATGATCTTGATAATGTGTTGCAAGATGCATTATTTCTAAGACTCAAAATTTTTTTTTTAATTTTTTTATATTCATACATCTAGATATCGAGATGCTCAATTACAAAGTTTTTCAACATTAAAACAACTTTTTTCCGATGAATTTTTTAAGCGCATCTTTAATTCTACATTTTAAAGCTGCAACCTTATATAAACTTTTTCCTTATCTAAATAGCTTTTTAAGTGAAATACAAAAGCTATCGAATTTCATATCGTAAGTAAATGTGAGCTATACAAAAAGTAAAAGGTTTCATTGTATAAAATCCCGTTCAAATAAATAACTTTCGATATATAAAAATAAAAGATATTTGCGGGGCTTGTGTGACACGTGCTCTCATTGTTTTTCATGTTGAGAACCCAAAATAATTGGGAATCAATTTCTATACTCAAAAGAGGATTAGACCTCCCAAAATGGTACAAATGTGACAGTTCTAGGGATCTCTCACAATTGCCTCCAAATTCGATGTTATATGATGGATTACCTTGAAGCCCGTTTGGGCACATGGATTTTGGGTAATATCTTGGATCCTACTAAAATTCACCATTTGATTTGCTCAATAGGACATTAAAATTTTATGAAAATTAAATATTGGAAAATTCATTTCCACATCAAAATCTTTTTATTATAATTTTTTTTAAAATTTTTAAGGCATGTAGATTCCACTCATCCATCCGTCGACCCAAAGCTTGGGGCGCTTTTAGTAGGTTTGAAAAGATCTGCATGAAAGTATTTTCACGTGAAAACTACATTACGCACGTTTGCGACGTGACAAATACAAAAAACTATATCAAACTTTAGAATGAGAAGGTACATGAAAATTTTTAAAGAGAGAAACTATATCAAAATTTTTGGAGAGAGAAATTATTTCCAAGTTTAAAGTTTAGGGAGAGTATATTAAGCATTTAGAGAGAAAAACTATATTAAATTTTAGACAGTACAAATTTTTTAGAGAAGTAAACTATCTCAAATTTTTTAGGGAGAGAAAATATATCCAATTTTAAGTTTTAGAAAGAGAAAGCACATTAAAATTTTAAAAAGGGAAATTATATCAAATTTTAAAGAGTAAAAGTACATGAGATTTTTTAAAAAGAGAAACGATCGCAACTTTTTAGGGAGAGAAATTATCCTAAATTTAAAGTTTTAGCGAGGTCATCTTAAATTTTTTTTAAAAATAAACTATATCAAATTTTAAAGAGAGAAAATACCTAAAATTTCTTAACTAGAGACACCGTATCAAATTTTAGATGGAGAAATTACATGAAACTTTCAAAGAGAGAAACTATTTCAAAATTTGTAGAGAGAAAATATTTCAAATTTTAAGTTTTAGAGAGAGAAAGTGTATTAAAAGTTTAGAGAGAAAAACCATATCAAAATTTAGAGAGTGAAGCAATCTCAAAATTTTGGGAAAGGTTTCTATACTTCCCCTACAACATAGAAGATCTATCTTTCCCATACCATCCAGCCATCCAATTTTGATCAAGAGAGCCACTCACCGTTTGATCTTAGATCCGACGTCTCAAAGTATTTTTATTTTTATTTTTTTTATACAAATTGTATGAACATGAAATTTGGTATGTGCCATATTCTCATTGAGGGGTGCTTATAAAAAATATTAAAAATAAATTTTCGATAAAATATAATGACCAAATACCCCTTGAAATTTTAAGGGGTATTTTAGTCATTTTATTTTATTGGGAATTTTTTTTCTATATATTTTTCACTAGTGCGAGTTTAATAGTGGATTGGACGTCCAAAATTTGGTATCAAAATAGTTTATAGAAAAAAAAAATAGTGTAGAGACGTGACATTGTGATTGGGGCAATCTTAACCCTCCATTCAGAATGGACGGTTGGACAAGGAGAAGTATATAAGTTTTATGCTATAGGGGAAGCATAGAAAGCTTGCCCCAAAATTTTTAGAGAGTATCTAAAATTTTAAGTTTTTGAGAGAGAAAGTATATTAAAATTTTGGAGAAATAAACTATATCAAATTTTGTGGGGTGCAGTTTGCATACAGATGTATCCGTAGTTGTAGAGGTAAGGTGCACCTTCAAATTTTACAATGGTATATAATTTTGATGGACAATGTTCTTAGGATTATCTCAAAATCTATTTTTATATCTAATTATAACATTTTGAATTTAAAAAATGGTTAAAATCAAGTAGATCTATAAACATATGAAATCTTGAAAATGGATGGTGTAGATAATATGTTGTAAAATGCACTATTTCTGAGACTCAAAATCTTTTTATTTTCATGGTCATACATCTCGATGTCGAGATGATCAATCAAAGGGTTTTCCAACATTAAAACTAACTTTTCCAATGAATTTTTGAAGTGCATCCGTTGTTCTACATTATAAGGTTGCATCCTTATATAAACTTTTTCCAATTTTGTTACCAAAGAATGGGCATGAAAATGATTGTAAGAAAAATAATTAATTTTGTATAGTATATCCAAACAAGAGATTTAAGGATTTCATGACAAAAGGTCCTTGATATTAGAAATTCATAGATTTTCTTGGATTCCATATATCCAAAATTCCTAATTTCCTCCGGTCAAAATGGGTCGTTGGAGTTTTTTGAGCCTTAAATCCTTTTTTTTTTACAAATC